GTTTTTTCTCCTTCTTAAAATATAGAAATAATTTTTGCTACTTTTAAATCATCAGGAAAAACTCCCTGATTAATAGAGCATTTAAAAATTTGGAAAAACATGTCTTTTAAAACGTCAAAACAGCTTATAATAATATTTCCGTTGACATCATCAGGACCAACTGCTTTATTTGACTTTAACAATTTAAAAGCACTTTCAAACTCTTCAAAAGACAAATCAAAAGAATTTAGATACGAGTTTAGAGGGCCATATGTTGCTTTTATTAATTTTTTAGGGTTCGGAATTTTTTCGGCTAGGTTTGGTCCTACAGATACAAAATATTTATTAAATTCAGAAGCAATTGATTTTTAATCAAGAAGAAGATTATCATCTACTTTAATAACTGAGGGCAAAGATTGCGAAATTTTTTTAGTGTTACGAGTAATTTCGTTCATTAGTTGCCAAGTGCGTTTTGAGTTTAACTTGTATTTTTCAAGTAAATTAGTGAAATATATATATTTTTTGAATTTTTCCTTAGGCGTTCAAATAATCTTACGTTATTTTTATAAATAGTCTTACTCTCAGTTGTTTTTGATTTTAATATTTATTATAAAGTTTTTGATTAATTTTTGAAGATTTTAGAATACCTTTAGTAATCCATGGCGATACAATTTTTTTATGTTTGTAATTTACTTCTACTTTGGGAAAATTGATGTCATAAATTTCATAAAAATTTTAAAAAAGGACTTGTATATTAAATTAATGTCTTCAGAAAAGTTTATAATGTCCCAATTAATTGACGATAGTTGATATTTAAAAGATTCTAGGTTTTTATTATGAAAAATTCGTTTTTTAAATGATTTTTTTTTCATAACATTTAATTTTAGCATAAAACTTTAGTTCTTTAAAACTGTTTATTTGTTATTTTTGTAATAAATACTCTTATCCGGGAAGTAATATATCTGTGCCAGTTTTATATCTTTTTGTGCAATTGTATATGCCCTATATATAAACCTGACCCTAACCCTGCGCCCTATGTATAACCCTGCCACTATAATTAATAATACCCTTTTAATGCGTTTTATGTTTAACTCTGACTCTAACCCTGTTTCTTCAAAATATTAAAAAAAAGTAAGATAAATGCAAGAACAAAGTTGACGCAAAAAAGTAACTTTTTTGCCTCAAACTGACGGCAATGTATAAACTATTTTGGGTTTAACATAATAGCTAAGATGTTAGCTATAAAATTCAATAAGTCCTTACTTTTAATCGTCTAGAATCTTTTTAGTTCTGCCTTGAGTATAGTGTTACGTACAAACATCTATAAGGGGTCGTCCATATATTACGTCACGCGGCTTTTAACATTTTTCGATCCCATCACCCCCTTCCCTCGTAACGCAACCGTAACAATTTATTGACCCCCCTCCTCTTCCTAATAATACGCAACTATTTTGTACCTGTCCTCCTAATAAAAATTTTTGATTTTTTAAAAAAATCAAAAATTTTTATTTAGGAAAACAGTCAAATTTTAACTTTATTTAAGGTTATTTTAGGACATTTAATGAGGTTTTTATTTTTTAAGGATTTTTAAGGAGCAGTGGAAACCGTAGCAATACATACAATATTTTTGATATTGCAAAATGACTTATTTGGTGGATTTTATGAAATAAAAAATTATTGTAATAACAAAAAACATATCAATTTTTTTTTAAAGTTATTAGCACATTTTATAACAAAAAAAAAAAAAAAATTAAAAAATAGTTTTATTTAAAAAATAGAGTTTGATTTGTCTTAATTGTAAAGAGATTGGATGTTTTACCAAGAAACTATTTCATCATTAATGTCAATTTTTTGTCTTCGTAATTTGTCTCTGATACTTTTTCCTAACTAGGGAGGATTAAAAATAACATGAATATTTTTATCATTGGAAGAATTAGGAAAGTATGGTAAATTTTTAGAAAACCCAAGTAAACGTAAGACTAACCCAAGTAAACGTAAGACTAACTTAAGTAAACATAAGACTAACCCAAGTAAACGTAAGACTAACCCAAGTAAATGTAAGACTAACCCAAGTAAACGTAAGACTAACCCAAGTAAACTTAAGGCAATATTAGTAGATCAAAAATTAATCATCTAATGTGAAAACTTCTTGAACAATAGAAATAATTTCACGTAGTAAAGAAGCCAAGTCAGTTGTTGCTACTGTTGAATTATTATAAAAATAACCTATTAATTGTTTCCATTTAGTTGCCGAACTTATTTCCTTCTTGGTTTCCTTGGCAACCAAGAAGTGATTTGCGGTGTTAAAAATAGGAAGAAATGCTAATTTTAACAAACGTTTTCCACCATTATTTGTAGAATAATACATAGTTCTTTAAAATTGATTACTGCAAAAGTAAAAGTTTTTGTTTAAAAGTACAACTTTTTTTTTTTTAAATCTTTCTATGATAGTTAATGTCCCACTGTTTACATATAAAAATTAAAGAATAAAAGAATATGTTTTAAAATACTACAATAATAATATTATAAACTTTTTATGAAAAAAAAAAACGTTATTACAAATAATATATGAATTAGCTTGTCTTTTATCGCCTATAGGAAACTATATGAAATGTCTTTAAAGTTTTTTCCACTCTTATTTCCACAGTTTATGGCAGCACACAATGATGGCATTGTTATAACTAATATCAAAATTCTTTAAGGTACATACAAAAATAACTATTTGCTACTTAATATTATTATAGTCTTAGGTCTGGCAGCACATCCCATAGCGCTTTGCGATAAAATTACAACGAGTTCTATGAATTTATATATAGTCCGACTGGATAGGCTTTGCATTTCAGTCTGTTTAATGTGTTTTTTTTACCTTAATAGTCCCATGTAATTTTTTTAAATTAACATCGCTATCCTAATCATGATATTAATTTTAAAAACCTATTTTTCCGATATAATACTTGCAAAATATTATATATATATATATAATATAAAAAAATAATAATAGTTTGAACATGCAAAATCAATTCGACCACGTAGACGTGGTCGAATTGATTTTGCCTCTGGCTAGTAAACCGAGGGCTCCAGGTTCGCCTAACGGTATTGAGTTTTTTTTTTTTTAAGCTAGTGCATAAAGATTATTTTTTTGTTGCTGCACACTATTGTGTGCAAACATTGCCTGGTGCAGCTCTAATATAAGTAAAATTAAAAAACTGCTTAGTAAACAAAAACATGCTGTCAGAATTATTTCAAATGCAGGTCGATTTACACATACTAAGGAACTATTTAATAATCTTCGCATACTCAATGTTTTTCAGTTAAACCTTTATCAAATTCTTATTTTTATGTACAAACTTCATAAAAAAATATCACCTGTAATATTTAGTACACTTTTCAATAAAATTAATCACATGTACCCTACAAGATTTTCTAGGTACAATTATGAGCAACCTAAAATGCATTATTTGGCTTCCAAATTTTCTATTGCTATAAGAGGTCCTAAATTATGGAACGCTTTATTAAATGACGAGCTGAAAAATTGTTCTTCTCTTTACCTATTAAAAAAAAAAAATGGAAACAAAAACTTATTAACGATGTTATAAATTAAATTCTTTTTAAAAAAATTTTGTTTTTATTTTTTCTTTATTTTAAACAATTATCTTATTAACTCTATAAACTATCCTATTAGCTTATCTATAATTTTGATTTTTTTTTTTTTTTAAATTTCTTTTTACAATTTTTTTTTGATTATAGATTAGTAACTAGTCTTAATATTCTAGTAAATAATTGTATATAATTTTTTAAATGGCACAAAATAATTATATTTTTAACTTTTAATGGTTGTACACGCTTGCTTATGAAGGCACGTCGGGGGAGTAGTGATAAGGCAAGTATTGTCTTCTTTTAACCCCGGTCATGTAGATCTTATTTATAATACACGGCATTGTATTTTTTTTTTTTTACTGACGAAATAATTAAAAAAAAAAAAAAAAAAAAAAAAAATTGTGCACCGACTAAATGAAGTTATGCACTTGAATCATATAAATTTAACGCGCAGAACATGCACTGCACATACAGCCCTAACAGTCCGTTAACAGTTTGTAACTACTCTTTTAACGGAATGTACACATCAACTAAGTAAGATTTAGGCGTAGTTACAATAAACATGTAGATAAAACAACTGAGGGAATATAAAAGATACATTAACTGAGGGTCTGGTAATGTCAGATTCTTCAGATAAAAAAAAATCTTTTCTAATTAAAAAAAAATTCTCTCTAAAAAAAATAAAAAATCGAGAAGTATAAACATCTTTAGCATATGTTGACTTTGCAGGCGGTATATAAAACATTCGTGGATAATATATTTATAAAATGAGAAAACTTTAAAGTTTAATTTTAACAATTACAAATCTTTTTCGCTATATTATTTCTTTTTTTTTTGTTATAAGCCAGAATAAAATAATTTCAAAGTTTATTTTGCTGAAGAAAAGTCCAAGATTTCCTGTAACGACGCAGATAACAGCAAGTAAAACCACTGAGCTTTCGATGACATGCGCTAAGGAGGAAAGGATCGTATTTATAAATCATTTACATGCTCTATTTATGCGGGAAAGGTGCGCATTGTAATGTTTTCGCTTTTGAAGTATTTTTTCGAAAAGATTATTTTACTGAAAAATATTGAAGTAAATAAGAAATAGGAAGAGAAATGATTGGTGTAAAATAGGTAAGTATAAAAATAGTATACCCTCATTCTACTGGAAAGGAAAGTATGGATATAAATATAAGATAAAAGTAAAAAAATTATCAGTGTGGAATAGACTAACAAAGACCTGTATAAATATCTCTAATATAGATCTAAATATCTATAAAAGATTGAATTGATTTAAATATCTATAAAAGATATATATCTGAATATCTTGTAAGAAGATATTTAGATCTTTTTACTTTCAAATTATTCCTTTATTCATTCAAAAATTTGAGTCTTTATTTTTAGAATACGCCAACATAATGTATATTTATATACTTTAGAAATTCTAAGGAATATTACAAAGTTTCTTCTGATGAATGGAAGGTATCTCAGAAAAACATTACTCTAAATCAAAAAATTGGCGAAGGAGCGTTTGGTAATGTCTTTATTGCAAAAATCGATAAAAACGTTCTAGCTAAAACAAAGTATTATGTTAGGTCTAAAAATAATAGTGACTCTGAAGAAAATTTCAATGATGCTGAGACTAATGTTGCAGTAAAAATCTTAAAAGGTTTTTTTTTTTTTATTATTTATTTTTTTATTAATTACTACTATTCTAGTTAACTAAATTTATAACTTTGTTAAGTTATTTTTAAAAAACATAGCTTTAAAGGTTTGTTAAATGTTTTTTAACACTTATAAAGAGCAAATGCTTTAAAATCAAATGCAATTTTTATAGAACAATAGTAATTTAAAAAACTTTTAGAAATTGTAGTCGATTGTTATAATAGTAATAACTAGCAGAACTCGTAACATGGGATATGGTTGGTCTGTTACATAATTAATTTAGTGGCTGTTTTCCTAAATAGCGAAACCTCAACTAATATCCTATTAGAAAAACGCCTTCAAAATGAAAGTATGAATCCATCTGTAAAATTAAAATAAAAAGTATAAAGAGGAAAAACAATTTACCAATTATTTAACAATATATTTGAGTAATTTACAACAATTTACCAATTATTTAACAATATATTTGAGTAATTTACAACAATTTACCAATTATTTAACAATATATTTGAGTAATTTACAACAATTTACCAATTATTTAACAATATATTTGAGTAATTTACAACAATTTACCAATTATTTAACAATATATTTGAGTAATTTACAACAATTTACCAATTATTTAACAATATATTTGAGTAATTTACAACAATTTACCAATTATTTAACAATATATTTGAGTAATTTACAACAATTTACCAATTATTTAACAATATATTTGAGTAATTTACAACTGACGTAGTCGTCTAAGTGTAAGGCAGAAGTATTTTCCTCGACATTCTTAATTCCAACACAATACTTTTTTAGTTACTGACACAAAATAGTAATACTTTATCATGTTTTAAATTAACAAAAATAATAACTCAATTCTTGGAATATTTTTTATAACATGAATTTTAATTAATTAATAAGATTAATATGAATTTACCTCATATTATACAGGAGTAGTTAATTTTTCTGTATCTCCTTGATTAATTTTTCTTTAAAAAAGTTAAATGCACACAACTAAATAAATTTTTTTAAAATAACTAAGTTTATTAAAAATAAATAATCAATGGAATTTAAATACGTTTTAAAAATAAAATATTTAATTTAAAAAAATATGTATGCTTTGATGTTTTAAATTGCAATAATGCGTTTTATGACAAAACTAAAATGAAATTCGTGACAGATAAGTAGACATAAGAAAGAAGAAAAAAAACCGGAAAACAATTTGCTTTCGGTAAACTTTTGTCATCAGTTGCTGTTATGATGCAGCAGTTCTTGTTAGCAGCAGCAGCAGTTCTTGTTTAATGACTTTATTTCATGTTGACTTTCAGTAAACTTTTGTTGAATTTTGGACATCACTATAGATTTAAAACATTTTAATTAAAAAGTAAAAAACAAAATGCTTCAAGGAGCTAAACTCTAAGCATTAAAAATAAAAAAACAAATTGAGATACTAATAAATTACATTTATGTTGCTACATATATTGTCTTGGCTAGTAGTAAGTCTTAAAAGCAGTGAGTTTAATAAATTAAACTATAAATTAATTATTTTTAACAATAGAACTTACCATCATTATATATAATAGACTAATTAATTTTCAGGTAGATCTACTTTAAGGCGTATAATAGTGATTGAGATATGACTTATTGGGTACTCAAAAAATAGCCACAATACTTCAGGTACACTAACATAACAACATTCTAAAAAGTGTTTACTTCAACGTGGTCATTATGAACTCCTATAGTGTAGGCAAAAAAAAAAGAACAAAAAAAAAAAACAAAGTCAGGTCCATCATTAGATGTCTGACCTGTTTATAAATTTCACTTTTTTCGAGTCATTTTGGGTTGCAAGTGAAAGTAATAAAAAGGTCTGGTTTACCTTACTTTTTAATTAAAACTATAGCATCTTTAAATTTTTTTTTAAAGCTCTAGAACTTCCTAAATAATTTTATGGTAAAACTACAAAACGCCCTGATTTAAAATTATGATCGTTTCCTAGGTTGTTTACATGTTTGTGTAAGGCACCATACTATTCTCAGTTTATTTCGGTTATTATTGATGAATGAAGGGTGCGTGCCTTCAGTTTTAACATACGGCATATTGCTGAAACAGTTTTTGGCCACAAAAGAGTAAAGATAAAATGTTTTGTCTAACTGAAAGAATATAACTGTAATACTGTAATGTAACATGATTTCGAACCAATGTGAGACTTTTAGGATTGCGAACCTATTGATTATACTAACTCCTCTTAGGTAAGTAACAACTTCTCTGAAAGCTGGTGGAGCCCCATCTTAACCAACTAATAAAACTGCAACCTCATTATGTAAAAGGATATTATAGCGACGAATATCTTGCACTACAGTAAAGACAACAAACACTGAGCGACTTTCTATAGCTGCTCAACAAATTTCTTCATTTGTGCAGCATATCTAGCGTTTTGTTGATTATTAATTTCATCTCGCCTAAGCCTCTCTTTTAATTTCATCTCTTTCATTTCTGGGACGATTATTTTCAAATCGTCTAACCGCGCTTTCTTCATTTGGGTTCAAATTATTTGCTGCCGAGCGACGATTAACCTGCCTAACAATATTTCTATTTTCTAAACTAATATCTGCTTCTAGCCTATATCATCAATTTAAATTTCAGGTTTAATTGAAGGTAGTAACAAAAAATCTTTAAAAAATCTCGAACATTGTAATTTTTTCTATATAATTTTTTTCCACTCTAAATAGCGCACACATTAAATTTTTAAATAAAAAAAACTGTCATTTAAAATAAGTTTTCCATTAATCTTTTGACTTTAAAAAAAATATATATTAGCTAGAAGATGTTTAAATATAAAATAAACTTTTAAAGTTTTTATTTAGATTAAAAAAAAAATTAATCTAAATAAATAAATCACCCAACAATTCCTACAATCAACATAATGCTAATTCAGAAGAAATAAAAAAAAGTTGGAATTTTTTTTCTGCAACTTCAATATTATATCTTTAAAAAAATTATTAGTAAACGTTTTCAAAAAGTTCACAAAAACTTACAACATTTGTTCATTTGAAATGCATTTATTATTTTAGATTTAATAAAATCTAAAATGAAAAATGCAAATAAATAAGAAAAAAATTACATAAAAAAAAATTAAAACCAATGTACCTGATATAAAAAAACAGTTGTGATTTACCAGAGTAATAAAAAGCTTTTAGTAAATATATATATATACATATATATATATATATATATATATATATATATATATATATATATATATATATATATATATATATATATATATATATATATATATATATATATATATATATATATATATATATATATATATATATATATATATATATATATATATATATATATATATATATACATACATATATATATATATATATATATATATATATATATATATATATATATATATATATATATATATATATATATATATATATATATAATACAGAGCAGTAGGAATTTAACGAACTATTAAAAGTAGTGAGATCTAATAATTAAATTACCTATTAATCATTTTTAATAATAAACACGTAAAAGTAAGCAAATTGTCTATCAACTCAAAAGAATACAAAAAATCAAAATTACAACATCTCAACAACAATAGCACCATAAGTTAATACAATATGCATATAACAAATTAATAATTAATTAATAAGTAGAATAACATTCATATGTTACTTAACATAACAAAACATAAGTAACAACATTACGCAAAACACTTGGCTGAACTTTCGAAATTTGTGTGGGAATGCAAAAATAAAGGTATAGAACCTATATTAATATTGAATAATTTTGATCAAGCGGAGCCATTCAACCATGTTAGTAAATTTTTCAAATTATGCTTGACAGAAAAATACCACACTATTGTTATTATTAAATACGTTACCATTAAATTTAAATATGTGTATATATATAAATTTAATGTTTTTTGAGGCCCACGTGTGGGAAGCACATGTTAGCCATATATTCACCATTCCCTTTTTATGGGAAGGTGTTGGCGCGTTTCATATGTGGCTTAAATGTTTATCCTATTAATAACACACTAAATAAGAGCAAACGCCACACAACGATTGCATGAAGAAGTCATATTTATATCTTCAGTCTATCCTCTGTTGAATTTTGTATTCTACCAGTTTGCCCTATAAGTAAAAAAAAAAAAAAAACATTGAAAAAAAAAAAAATAATCATAAGGATTATAAGAAAAACAATTATACTAAATATACTAACATACTAAATCGCAATATATTAAAGCAAATTAATAATAAAAATTACTTACAGCAACTTTGGTTCAAAGTTATAGGTAGATGTTCTAAAAACATTTTCACTTGTGGGTGTATAAAATCTTGAAAGCATACTAACAATTTTAAACTTTTTATAGATCATTTAATTTATTTAAAGGCGTATTTCCACTTATCCGATTTTCAACGGGAACGGGATAGGAAAGGAAAAAATAATCACGTGAGCATGCGTGATAAAGGTTTTTATTTGTCTGAAAGAAAACTGCGCATGCTTACGTGATTATTTTTCCGTTCCCTTTCCCTTTCCCGTAGAAAAACGGATGAGTGGAAACTCACTTTAAGAAAGGGATTTTTTTGGGGGAGAATTTTTCTCAGGGGATTATTTTAAGGGGATTTGTTCCGGGAGGGGGGGGTATATTTTCTCTGACCCTATCTTTTTAGTTCCAAAAATTTAAATTAATGCAGAAAATATAATACGCCTCAATTAAAAAGTGCGTTTGTTTTTTACCTATACTTGTTTTGACGCATTACTTTACAATTTATTTGCGGTTGCGGAAGTTTGCTTAAATTGTCCGCTTTTTTAAAATATAACGTTGTTTAAGTATAAGTATAAATTTGTATTCGTTAAGTATAACTCTGATTTACAAAATTTATGGAAAGTTTATTTAGAATAACAATTCTCTAATATATTCATTACAAAACCGCTCAAACATTTTTGATTTTATTTATTTATTTATTACAAAGTTATAAATAT